TGGCTGAATATAATGCCAAAGCAGGTGCTGTACTACCCAATTCATTTATTCTTCTTGGCCATTTGACTAATGGTGGTTCCCTGACGTCGTTTGGAGCTTGGTACCCATCTGTTCAGCTGTCGACTGCCACAGTTCGCTGGTAAACCTTACATCCCTGTCACTTACTATTGACGTAGGTAGTCCGAAATCTTTGACCTAGTTATCCAAAAGCAGTTTGATGACATAGTCCGTTTTAGCAGTTTCTGGCATAGCGATCAGTCTTGCATACTTAGTAAAGCGGTCCACTATTACGAAGATGTGCCTTTTTCCAGACTTACTGGTCACAACAGTATCCATGAAATCCATGGACACACTCAGACCAGGTCCTTCAGGGATTGGTAAGGGCTTGATGAGCCCAAGCGGAGCCTGAGTCCTAGGTTTGTCTCGTTGACAGACCTGGCAAGTTTCTACATACTTTTTCGCATCTTGCATCATAGTGGGCCACCAAAACTTTTGTACTAAGTTAGCTCAAGTCTTTTTATAACCAAAACGACCAGTCGCATCATGACATTCCCCTAAAAATAAACTACGCAAAGACTCACTACTAGGAACACACAATCTTTTATTCCCTGCCTTCACAAGAAACAGCAAGCCGTCTACCATCGTAAATTCATCCAAAGTCTTTTTGTTCTTGGTTTGAAATCTACTGATGATTTCAGACATGGCTGGATCTTGCTGATAGGCATCCACCAATGATCGAGTTAAGTCACTGGATATGCCAAATTCAGTTACTATTGTGCCCAGATAATTTGCCCGACGAGATAGTGCATCAGCTACTTTGTTGTACTCACCCTTGATTGGATCAAGTTGATAGTCATACATGTCTATCACTTGTATCCATCGCTTGAGTGCGTCGGAGAGTACCGACTATGCCTTAATCCAGCGCAAGGTCTCATGGTCAGATTTCCTCGGCTGATTGCCAAAACGTGGGGATGCCGGAGGGGAGGCTGAAGGTAGAGAGACGATGGCAGTTTATTGAGGCCGAAAGAAAGGACGAAGCACCGGGAGAGTGAGTTCAGGTTCAGTGGAGGAGAGGCGGAGCTGGAGATCGATGTTGTTTGTCACCACGACGCGATCGCGAGGCCACGCCAATAGCCGCACCCACTCGTTCGTAAGGCTGGCTGCCTAGTCTCGCTGCTGTCGGAGCACGACAGTGTGCCGTGCTGGGTGTGGCGTCGTGAGGTCGCCTGAGAAGACGACGATGACCGACACGTGGCTTTCTCCTACTGGAGAAATGTGCAAGAAGGCGTCTCTCTCTCTCTCTCTCTCTCTCTCTCTCTCTCTCTCTCTCTCTCTCTCTCTCTCTCTCTCTCTCTCTCTCTCTGTCTCGGCGTCTCTCTCTCGGCTATGCCCTCTCTCTCTGTCTCATATGGTCTCTCTCTCTCTCTCTCTCCCATCTGCGCGCAGAGGTTGCTCGAGCTCAAGCACCTCAACATGAAAGTTCCCCCCTCGTGCACAGTATATATGGCAAAGAGAGGGAATAACGAACCAAGGAGGCGCGCAAGTGATGGAGAGAGAGAGAGAGAGA